ATCTCGCACCGTTATAACGGACGAAACAATTAACGTCGGGACATATTTTAAAGAAAATCTAAATTCCTCGATTTTTAGCAAATTTGAAGCCAGAGAAACTTCCCGAAAGTTTGTGAGAAACGTTATCAAATTACACCCATACAAAATCACGACACATCAATTATTGACAAAGAAGGTGACAAAGAAAAACGAATTAAATTTTGCAACATGATAACCGAATATGTTTGAGAATGAGGAAGGATGAAGCTTATTTTTGGTTAAACGGCTATGTCAATAAACAAAATTATCGATTTGTGAGAAAAGAAAATCCGAATGTATTGATTGCCGTTTCTTTTCACTCCCAAAAGTCTCCGTATAGGCTATGATTTCAATAAAAGAGGTTGTGCCTACAATTTTTTGAAGAAATCACCGTTATCGGTGAAAGTTATAGAAAGTTGTTAGAGACGAAATTCTTTTCTTAAATAAGAAAACGAGGATTAATACAGAAATTTCAATTTATGCAAAATCACGCAACTCCATACCGTATTCGTGATACATTTGAATCAATACGTAAAATGTAGCAGAATAAATGGCAGCAGAGTAACTGAGTTAGAATTTTGCTCATAGAAGTCTGGAATAGTTTCCTTATTCATTCAATTTGAACCCAAGCGATTTTTTCCTTTGGAAATATCTCAAAAATTAATATTATGCTGTACAACCTCAAAACATTGAAGAGCCGATAGACAGCATTCGAAAATGTACCCGCAGCATTCTTGCAATCATATTGGACAATGTAATTGAAAGTTTTTGAAAACGGTTGCAATTTTGTGCCGATTCTAATGGACAGCATTTTAAAAACATATACTATTAGTTCATGCGCGCGAGCATATTTTTGCTACCTACTCTATCATATTTGATATCTAATAACTGTGTGTGTGTGTGTATGTATGTGTGTGCGTGCGTGCGTGTGAACGAAGGCTAGATCATAAATCCATTTCTACATTTCACTGAATAATCCGTTAGTAGCGAGTTAATAACGAGGCAAAAAATTTAAACTAGCTATATTAGCCTTTTTAAATATTAGCCATTGGTCCGGATCAGCTAGTTACATTTTATGAACAGTTACATTCTATGAACAATTAAAACGGACGCGAGTTGAATAACACAGTCAATAATTCTGTTGACAGCGCATATAAATACGTGTAACACGATTATAAGTGGAAGATTGATTTTAGTAACAGATGGCCGCCTCCCAATCTTATCTATGCTTATAACATAAGTCAAATAAGGGCAGATGTTTGCCAGCTTGTGTGTATCTATCGATAGGAAAAGTTAAAACCGGTTCTTCGATACTACGCACGCGACAGAGCGAGAGAGAGAGAGAGAGAGAGAGAAGATAGGAAGGATATTTTAATATTGTGTTGGACCGCTTGTTAATAAATAAACGAAAATAATAAATGAGGATCAAGGCTGAAGATGCAGAACGATGGAACGCGAATAAAGTACTCTACTGCTATGAATGAACAATATCGACTGAAGATTAAAATATAATTGTACGCGTCTAATTATTCGCTTCGTGGTAAAGGTAAAGCGACGATCAACATTTTCGAAAATAATTGCTGATATTGACGGAACAATGGGGACGAGCTCTTATGACGCAGGTAAACAAACTTTCTTTGCTGTAAATCTCTAATACCGAGAACAATAGCGTCCATTGTTTGTCGGCTTTAAGCATGCCGTACTACGAAACTACAATCCCTCCGATACTGTGCTCATGGATGATTATTAAATGAAGCTGTCACTTTCATATAACCGTGATTAATGATATTTAATGTAGGCTAATGGATGCGAATTGTGCCGTACGATTATTTGGTCAAACGAACGTGAGCGATACGTTTGCGTAGTTTAAATCTGTTTGCCGAGCATGGATGACACCCTGGGATATCGGAAACGATTCTAATGACGCTGTCATGCGATATTTCGTCCTCGTGTCTCTTCGCCGGGGGTGAAAAGGAACGCAAAAGGTATCTATTTACGGCTTATGGTGTATTGTCGATGGAAATTTTGATGCGTTTTGATGCGTCATACGATCCGTCGCCGTCCATAATCAAACGACTTTTACGACGGCGTATCGTATCATTCCTTCACATATTTCGAGCAATAATTAATATTGAGACTCGTATAATTATTAATTTATTAATGGTTGATATTAAAACTCTCAAATATTCATTAATTTATTATTATATTACGGCTCTCAAGCTTTCTTTACTAAGGCTTAATCACTCAGATTTTTAAAGCTAATAAATTCCTCCTGGTTGAAGCAATATTTCTATCGCAACTTTGCATACAAAGATACATTAGATCAATTTTCACAGTTTGAGTGGAGTGTGGTTAAGATACTTTATAAAAATTAGGATACAAGTTTGGTTCGATATAAGGATATCGGGACGTTCTCAGAACAGCCTCAGGACGTCCCTAGGAGATTTGTGCTATCTGGGGCATAATACTTCGTCGACATTATTATCCTCTTACAAATAACACGAAAAAATAGCTTCCACAGCTAAAAACTAGATTTTACAGGTAAAAATTAGTCGTCTATATAATATCAGGTAAAACAGAAAGTCCTTGCGAATGTCTTTGTACATGTGTTTCAAATATTCATGGCAAAAAAACGAAGGCTTTGTTTAATCATCAAGATAATTTCCTCACAACAAGATAACCTCCTGCCAACCATATACAAGCTTATCGATGCCTTTTTTACAAAAGGCTGTTCTTGAGTCGAGAAAGGCCAAAGAAATGATATTTATTAATATATTAATATCTTTTAGCAATTAATATATTTTTTAAATAATTTGTTATAAATAAACATAATCAAACTTCAAGATGTATATATTTTAATTAAAAAATTGAGTTCTAACAGAACAGCATAATTATGATACTGCGATACTTTTGCTACGTAAAATATATATTAAAGGTTCTAAAATATATGTTCTTCAAACGTTTCCACTTTGTTTGAATATAACAAAACCAAGTGAACGTAAAGCGAATGTTCCTCGAACGTTTACGTGCTGCTTGGGTTAGTGCTTATCAGTGTCAATCGGCCGCCCAAAGCGATTTTCGTCAATACAGCTCTCATCACCATTGTTGAAACGTCAATACCAATACCAAACTGTTCTTGATTTAGCCAGGTCCTTGCCGAACACGGCGTTGATGTTTTTCATAGCTTGGCCAGTTTTGGATTTTTCTTCCACTCAGCCCAAATGAGGACACTTAACTTCTGATTTTCGGACACTATTGCGATCATTTTTTCAGGCACATGCAAGACGAATTTCGGTTTTTTGAAAATTGCACTGTGTTCAGCAGGCATCGAACTGGCAGATTGACATATCTCAAAACAATGCGTCCAATCTATTTTTTTATTATACACATTTGAAACGTATGTACAAAACACTTACCGTTTTAATTGACACAACTGAAAGTGAACTAATGCTTTTTGTACTTAGTTTTTAGTTCCTACAGCTAAAAACTAGATCTGGTAACTAAATCTTAATTATTAAATGGACAGCTAATTCCTTTTTCCCGTAATTATTCGCAACTTTCATCTTGTGATGGTTCTTATTGGTTTTAAAAATTCTGGTAATTTTTGAAAAGGAAATTTGTTTGAACATAATCAATGTATCAAAGAAAAGAGTGAAAAGACGAATATTAATCATCTAATATCGTTTGGATATTATTGCGTAATAATAATTTTCTTATAGAATAATAAAATACTGAGTCATTCCAAAAGTTCGGTTAGATCTTCGGGTCAAATTTCAAGGTTACACCTTGTCATATTTGATGGAAACGAATTATTCATCGAATAATAAATAATATAATCATCGTTGCTGTTTACGATCCTTTGTCAACGTCATACTAGAATTTATACGCTATCGTAGAACGTGACTATTTCAGCGTCCAAGATATTGAAAATCGAACCGAATTTTTTGATTGATTCTATACAACACAATTTGAAAATATTGTACAACGAAAACCCATCATGAAGACATCAACGAGAATTAAAGCGACCGTTATAAGATAAACTATTGTTAATTTAAAATGTATTCACTCTCCGACAATCAAATATAAAATCGATCGATGATAAAATAGATTTCTGTAAAAACATATATGCAGCCCCGATAGACTCATAGCTCCATCTGATACGCGCTGCTATTCTTTGGAAGAGCATTCGGGAAAAAATCGATAAGCCGCGTTATGGATAAGAGAAGTACAAAATGAGAAATTTTGATAATTTAAATATATAAACTTTAATAATTTAAATATGTAAACTTTGATAACTTAAATATGTAAACTATTTAGTGGATTATCTGTTCTGTCAACTTCGATTTATGTCAAACTGTACTAAATCCCCGTTGTAGTTAATTGATTACTATTGTTCTTTTAAAAAAAGTTTTGGCTATTTTCTCTAAGTTGAGACTTAAAGAAAAACTTTCTGAGACCTCCTAGCACGTATAGAGAAAAAAATTGTCACTTCATATTCCTTCGTAGTTTCCGTCTTGACCAGCAGCCGGTCATTTATGTGGAAAACTATGGAAGGATATGAAGTGACAATTTTTTTCTCTATACGTGCTAGGAGGTCTCAGAAAGTTTTTATTTAAGTCTCAACTTAGAGAAAATAGCCAAAAGTTTTTGGAAAACATAATAATAATAATTATAATTAATTGATAATAATTAATAATAATAATAAATATAATTAATTGATTGTATATCAGTTATGTATGGGCAAATTTCACACATAATTTTGCATGATTATATATAGCCATACATGATCATATATGAAAAATTCTTGTGCCCGTTATGAATGTCCGTTACCGATGCCTACTCATGTGATACAAGGAGTTCCATTGATTCGTAACACCTCTTCGTATAAACCCACGACCATATAATCGCAGTTTTTAAATGACGCAAGTACTCGACGCAACAAAACATATCGTTTATCGCAAGTTATATTAAACGCATGTGCGCCCTGCTGCGCGTGTGCACCTCGCTGCTGCCTACGAAAACGCGACTCGCGGCTTACTATTAAAGATCGCGTTCTGCTCTGCCACTTAGTGTGCGTTACTCAATTCGTGCAAAATCATTATCATCATCCCGGTCTGTCTATGATGCACGAGCGAAGTGTTAAATTCGTAGGTGGACGCGGTGGAATCGGAAGTATCGCGCGGTGTGGATGCTGTGTCTTTGCGCTTTTCGTCATCTTGGCTAACAGTTTATTTTCTGGGCCTGTAGTAAACATTAAATGGGGTCCCATACTCGGCAAGTGGAGCAAAAGTCTAAATGGCCAGCCAATTGCGAGTTTCCTCGGAATACCGTACGCACTGCCTCCGCTGGGCGATTTGCGATTTAAGGTGTGTACTGTGCATAGAAATTACATACGTAATAAGTGGCTTTATCGCGTTCTTTCAATTAGGATCAGCATGAATTCTTAAAAAGAATTCCAGAGATAAACGAATTAACATCTTGTTGCCCGGGAAAAAAGTTCAGATCTAATTATATGTAATTATATGTAATTTTATAGATTTAATTATGTATATATAGACTTTGATCTGATCTAATCATATATAAATAGATAAAATTGCTTATAATTGTATTTAATTATAGACCGTATATTATCTACGATTAAATATAATTATATACAGAGAACACGTCTTATAAGGCATTAAAAAGATATGTGAAATGCCAAATGGGATATCCGGAAGAAGTTAATTCATATACATTCAATCCGTGATTTTAATTCCGTACGGCGGTCGATAATTTATTCACTTTCTAATTGCGGTCGTTGTTGAATAAACTCGATGATTGACTGATGGTGATCTCATTGGCTTTGAGGATGTTTCTGTGATTTATATTTATATAATATATCCTTTAGATGCTCACAAACATATAATAACATATTTATTGGCAGACATTAAGAGCAACACAACGGTTAACATGCGACGAATATTAACCCCTTGAAATACAAATAAAACGGAATTTGATGCGTCCGAAAAATACTATTTAACTTTGCTCAATGAACAGTTATGTGCAAGCTTACAAACAGGACTTTTTATTTTGAAATTTGCATCGCTATATAACATTTAATCAGATTGATATATAATGTTAATGTGATGTGATGTGTTATCATTTGAATAATCAACAGTATGAACACTTTGATGACTGTTTTCAATCTCATTATCATCACTAGAATAGCCCATTAGACATTCATCATCACTTTCATACAATACATTCAACTCAGACATGTTACAAGGATTATTTTTAATTTTTACTAAATTCAAATATATAGTATGGCATTCGCCGTGCGAGATCACTGCTATACTGAATACTGCTTTCAATGTACTTCTTTTTGATTTACTGGTTTGCCGATGCGATTTTGTTATCGGCACTGTTGAGAAAGGGGGAGCATCTTGAACATTCTAAATAACAAAACATTCTAAATAACAAAACAGAATCGACGCACAAGTGAAACAATTGAATAATCTAATAATATATTGCACAGCGTCCGCCGGAGACAGTTCTTGACGTCTCGGAGACGTCAAAGTCTACAATGGTACATGAAATGAATGACGTCTCCCAGACGTCATTGTGTGTCAAGGGGTTAATATAATATATATAGTGTCTTAAACTAATCTCGGTTTCCGTGATGTGCAAGTAGAACGGATGAAACTAAGTAGAAAAATCATGTACAATTTCACAAAATTTGCAATAGTTAGTGAGGAGTTAATTATTTTGTCTGAACTAATAAACGCACGGGAAAGAATAGACTATTTTACTATAGGATATTGTACAAAGAAAAATGACTTACATTTGAAAATCTGCTAGCAACGATAAGAATCAACTGTTTCCTAAATGCGGAATAACACAGCAAGCAGCGAGCAGCATATAATACAAGGCTGTGCATCGAAAAGAAACGTGTCTCGCTATCAGTTGAAACTGTTATGTATAAAAATACTACGGCAAGGTCATCTACAATAGATATAAATATTTTTTGAGTCATTTTACTTTTATTCTAATATTGTTCACTACAACATATGAAATATTTCATAAAATATTCCCTTTTCGATATCATCACCTTATCACTTTTGTATAAAGAATGATAAATGAAATCGATCATTGTAAGCAAATATAAAGAAACCTTTAAAAAAATTAATTGTATAACTCATTGAAAGATTTCCTTTCATTTTGTTTTATTTATTTATTTTTTATTTAGACGTCTCAATATAAATGTTCCACTTTATATAATATGGTCTACCATTTCCCGTGCTCGTTAGTTCAGACAAAATAATTAATTTCTCATTAACTATTGCAAGTTTTGCAAAATAGTAAATGACTTTTCTGCTCAGTTTCACTCGTTCTACTTATACACCACGGGAATCGAGATTAGTTTGGGACACCCTGTATAACATCAAATTACCATAAGAATAAAAAATCATACAAATTAAAATATTTTTTAGAATTTTGCATATTTATAGACTTAGTTTTTATTAAATAAAATTTAAATGTATATTACTTGGTTTCTCAAGGACATCTCTTAGATGTGCGTGTTGTCTGGGTATTTCTATATGCAATTAGGTCAAATCTTCAACAGATGCATTTTTGTGTTAAATATATTACTCAAATAATATGAAATATACATATTTATATACACATAATATCTTGGAAAAATCTCGCGATTAGATATTATTATAATTATACATAACTAGATAAAACCAGACTCAATCGACTTTTCAATCTATTATTAATTTCAAATATAATCAGATCTGATTGTACTGAGTGTTTCATTTTAACTGACGTACTAAATTTTCTCTTGAACAGTGCATTTTAGAGAAAAATGTTTCAGATAAAAGTATGATTTGGAGGGGGGTATAAAGTAGTGTCATCAGTTTGGCCCTTGATTATCTTTGAAAGTCACATGAAAGTCACCTTCAATTTCTTAAATGGAAATTCCGACTTCTTATTATATATTTTTATAGCTTACCTCGAGAACTTTTCAAAACACTATAATAAAATATTTCTAAAATATTTTTTTATTTTTAGTTATTTATTTTTTAAAATATTTTTTATCTCTACTGATACACACACAAACGCAAACACACACACGCGTGCGCACACTGACATAAAGCAGAGAGGGTTTGGAGTCAAAAAATATTACTGGAACGACGAACCGTGGGGTCCTTATATCTACCATGGGTAATATTAATGTTAACTGTACTGCAACTTTCAAGCCTTATAACTCTAAAAGTACCTAATGCAAAAATATATTATAGTATTTTGAAAAGCTGTCGAGGTAAGCTACAAAAATGTGTAATAAAAAGTAGCAGTAGACTATCAAAGGTCAAACCAATGACACCATTTTATGTCCTCCTCCAAACCATACAACTTTGTGTGAAACGTTTTTCTCTAAAATGCACTGTTCAAAAGAAAATGTGCGTCAATTAAAATGAAACATCCAGTATATAATTAGATATGTTCGAACAATATTTTAGATTAATACAGTGCTATAAATATCAAATTGATATAAAGTTAAAAACATTTTGATAAAATCATGTACGAATGTAGTCTGAAAAGTTTTGAGCCTCAACATGAAGATGGCGTTACTGACACAAACGAGTGTCAAACAACAACTGAGCGTCCAAAATGGCTGAAATTTTCACAGTATCTTTCTCATAGTATCTTTCAAAACATGTACGATTGTAGTACCAGAATGATATTGACGAATAACGCCATCTTCATGTTGAGGTTCAAAACTTTTCAGACTACCCTCGTATAATTGATAGTATCAAAAGATCTTTTTATATATAATTATATGTAATTTGATACAATTATACATTTAATTATATATAAAATTTTTTCTCGGATGTTATCTGATTATTTCATATAGAGCCCACAACGTTGGAACCGCACGTGGATAACAGTTCGCAACAGCACAGTAGACGGTCCGAATTGCGCTCAGCTCGATAAGTCAGAAGTGATCGGCAGCGAGGACTGCCTCTATCTGAACGTCTTTATGCCTATGGTGAGTGATATGAGCATGATCATGGAATGGTATATTCATGATGGCATCGATAATAATATAAATCAATGTAACTCAACTCCGCCGATAAATCGACGTCTTACGATCGTGTAGAAACGATCAGTCAAATGGCGTGTGGGCTTTGCGGGGAAAATATTACCGTCAAAAGTTTCGACGAAGATAGAGTCGTGACGTTTCGAGCACGAATGCAAACTCAATTAGCTCACGAGGCCATACGGTGGCTTAATTAAGCTTAAACGGATTAAGGTTATTATTGTATGAAGTTACCTCGTAAACCTCGAGGAACGTTTTACATTTCCGCATAATTGCTTCTAATTTTGTCGATAATTTTATTGTTTTTGCAGATTCCAGGAAACTGCCCGACAAAATTGCCGGTTATAGTCTATGTGCACGGAGGCAGTTTCAAGACTGGCAGCAGCGATAGCAAACTATATGCACCGGACTATTTGATGGATCATAACGTGATCCTCGTCACTTTGAATTATCGGCTCAACGTTTTAGGTGAGAAAGAACATCTCTGAGCGTAGGAAAATGGCTGAATTGAGGAATATGCTCTTATTTATCAGAGATATACAGTTTCTATTTCCTTCGATTCATTTCTTTTTCATTAGAACAGCATTAGAGGTGTGACGTATACTTTGAAAACTGCATGTATCCACTTTCTATCGGAAGTGTTGTTTGAGAAAATCAATTGAAGTTGAATAAACATAAACTTAAATGACAAGGATAGCGATTAAACGAAATACACGTGAATCTTGTTGCTCTCGCGACATACATAATAATACATAACAATGCGTTGCGCTGCATTTCAGGGTTCTTCAGCACCACAAATCGAGTCGCGCCGGGCAACTATGGCCTCAAAGATATAATAGCGGCCCTCCATTGGGTACAAGAAAATATTCACAATTTCGAGGGAAATCCCGAATCGGTCACCATGATGGGATCGAGCGCCGGTGCCGCCTTAATCCACTTTCTCGCGCTTTCTAAGAAAACGGAGAGACTATTTCATAGGTACATTCTGCACAGCGGAACTGCCTTGCATCCATGGGCTTTTCACTCTAAACAACCGTATAGACAAATTTGTCTGAAATTGGCGAGGCTGGTCGGGTGCCTGTCGAAGAAGGTCGACAACGTGACCATGTTGAATGAGACGATTAACACGGAATTTTCCGGGGAGGAAAACATACAATATAACGTGTACGACGCATCGAGTGATAATGAAGAACAGGACGAAGAGATGATGAAGTGCATGAGAACCGTTGACACGCGAACAATGTTGAACATGACGCGGGAATTTGTAAGCATTAGCTATAACGCTTACAATATTTTAATTAGCTCGCTCCTATTTGCATTTATGGCACTTACTATCGCACAGTGCATGTTTACAATTACAATTTGTTTTGTTATTTTTGTTATTGTTATTAGTTCGTTTGGAGGACGCATCCGTCTTGCTTCATTTCTCCCATATTGGAGGAGGAATCTGAAGACGCTGTTGTGATAATGCATCCGCTAAAAGTTATACGGAACGGGTTGTTCCGCGATATACCGGTGATAATTGAAATCGTAAAGGACGAGGGTCTGATAAAATCGCTCGGTAGATGTTCCATTTATTGTTGTTCCAGTAAAATTTAATTTATTAAAATTGTCCCCCAAACTAAATTAATTAGCGTCGTTGAATAATTCATCTGAGCGAAAGAGATATAATTTAATTATTGGGAGTACAAATTAGTTCGGTCCGTTTTTTGTGGTCAAAAATGCATTTATTTCAGAAGAAAATGAATGAACAGATTAATCGAAGTACTGTCCATTGCTGGCTACTACTTTTTTCCACCTCTCAGGCAATTTTCGAATTCCATTTCGAAAAAATGTCTCGTCTTTTGAGGTGATCCAAGTTAGGAGCCAATTTTCGATTTCTGCGAAAGAAGTGAACCGGTGACCTGCCAAATCGTGCTGCATCCGTCGGAACAACCAATAATCAGAAGGAGCAATGTCCGGCGAATACGGCGGATGCAGTAAAATATCCCACTTGAGCGTTTCCAAATAATTTTTTACGACTTTTGCGACATGAGGCCGAGTGTTATCATGCAGAAGAATAACTTTGTCATGTCTTTGCTCATATTCCGACCGTTTTACTCGTAATGCACGGCTCAAACGAATCAATTGCAGCCTATACCGATGACCCGTGATGGAATCGCTAGGTTGTAGCAGCTCATAGTATACAACACCCTTTTGATCCCATTTTTTTGGCTGTCCAGAGCGAAGCTTGTCTTCAACGCTAAAATCACCATTCTTGAAACGTCGAAAAGATTCCCTACATGATTTATCAGTTGGAGCATTGTCACCATAAATTTCTACAAACATTCGATGCGTTTCAGCTGCACTTCTCTTCCAATTAAAGCAGAAAACTAAAACCTCCCGCAAATGCTGCTTAGTTAACACAAAATTTGACATATTCAACACAGTAAAAAACGGGGGTTTTGTATGAAACTCAAAGCGATATAAACTGAATATTATTGACAGATGTCTAACCTCTCTGAAACCACCGAAATCAGCTGTCACTATGAAACATTCATAACAACCAGAGCCATCTTTTGAAAACGGACCGAACTAATTTGTACTTCTAATAATTTTAAAATATTAATAAAATATTACAGAATTTATACGTTTGGCGGGATAAAAATAGCAAAAAATAACAGTTTTGCGTTTGTAGTATTTATTAACATGCACGATATTCTCCCCGATAAATTATCTGATTATTACTTTTTATAAATTTAACGGCGATAGGTTGTGCGACATCTTCGTAACGAGGTGATAAGATTTTATAACATGCCTATGTTTCAGACTTCTTCATTGATTCCAACGCCCGAAATGAAATGTTAGAGAACTTCGAAAAATTTTTGCCTTTTCTGATGGAATACCAGGACGTGATTTCCGATACCAGCACTTTCGCCGACGCGATACAGAATTTTTACTTCAGCGGGAATATAACAGAATCGAATTTCTTGTACAACATCACGGAGGTATATTCGTGAGGCATGAATCGCACCCGGAGGTGTCGAATATACCCTGTCACGTTTGACGATATATTTTTCCAGATGATAGGCGACGGTTTGATGACGTGGCCATCATTTCAGACAGTGCAGTATCAATCGGAATTGGGAAAAGCTAGCGTTTACTTCTCTCTTTTCGCATATAAAGGGACGTTCTCGTGGAGCTTCAGAAAAGGCGGCTCGGCTCATTACGGTATGATCTTCGATTCTGTCATATATTAGAGACACATTCTATCTTTCCTTCTCTCTCTCTCTCTCTCTCTCTCTCTCTCTCTTTGTCTTTTCTTATATTAGATGCATAAATTAATTCTTGCCGTGCTTTCGCAAACTGCGACTTTATTTTTCAACAAGATGAATATATGAATTAATCATTGAAATATTCTTCGTTAACATCGATGATCTTACGCTATCTATCGGGCAACTTTGGGTTTCTATCGCGATAGAAATTTGGTAGTTTTGAAGTGATGAAGACCAACAAAGTTTCGAACGTCTTTAATTGAGTCGAAGTTTGTATCCGATAAGGAGTGTTGCATCGACCGAAACAAGTGGTAGTAATCTGAAAAGATTATGTCTGCTGAATACGCCCCGCGCGAGGAAGAATTTTCCAGCCCAAGTTTCAGATGGTTTTCTTTGTAGAGACAATCCTTGTGATTTCTGCTGTATGCGGCTTAGCGTTGTCATGGAGCAAAATGACCTTACGAATGCGTTGTTCAGTAAATGGCCGTTTTTCCTCAATTGCATTGCTCAAACTGATTAATTGTTGTTGTTAAAACTTTAATTGTCTGACCTGGTTCGAGGAGCTCATATTACAGCACACTCTTCTGGTCCCACTATATGCAAAGAAGAAACTTCTTGCCGAAGCGTTTAGGGCTTGCTGTTGATGTCGTTGGTTGACCAGGATCCACTCATAATTTTTTACAATGGATTATCATACAAAATCTATTTTTTATCGCCAGTTATAATTTTATGCAAAAATTCTTTTCTCATATTGTGGCGAGCAAAGAAATACATGTAGCCAACCGACGATTTTTGTCGTTAGCAGTCAGCTCATTAGGAATCTACCTACCATCTTTGTGAATTTTTCCCAGCTGATGCAATCGAACCGAAAGCATTAATTGCGTCGCTCCAAGCTACTCGGCAAGTTCTTTATGTGTTTGAGTCGGATTCTCATTGAGTAGTGCCTTCAGTCTATCGTTTTCAAACTTGCAAGGCTGCCCAGCACATGGTTCATCGTCAATACTGAAATCATCGTCTCAAAAGCGATTAAACCATTTTCTGAACGTTCTTTCATTCTCTGCACCTTCTCCGTAAGCTGAACAAATCATTTCGGTGCCTCAGAAGCGTTTCTATTGAGATTAAACGTAAAACGCATGCAGTGTCGAATATGCTATTTATCGTAGGCCATGATGTTTACTATTGATTTTTATGTTGTTTAAATGTCAAACTACATGTTTTAATCTTGAATATCAATACTTTAGAATAGCAAAAGGGCGCGACAATAACTTAAATTCAAATGATTTATATTTTTGTGCAAATTTAGGCGGCACGATTTAATTAATACACCTAATATCTTTTTAACGAATTCGCAAATTAATAAAATCATTTTTAGGTGTTGATCATGCTGATGACATGAACTATTTCTTCCCTCTGTTAAACAATATGTTTGCGGACCGGATGCTGCATAACACGGAGAACGATCGCAGCATGATCCATATCATGACGGAGATGTGGACGAATTTCGCGAGAGAAGGGTAAATACATATTAACAATGACGAATCATAATTAACAATGCGAAGCACTTTTCAGCATTTTTGCGAGAAAAAACGCGATATACGATTATATCTATGCACTATCGGGATCTTGATTACGCCAATCGAAGCAAAAACATCGATAATCGGTCATGCTCGTATATTACGTCAGAAATTATAATTTTTTCCAGGACGTGTTCCATTTCCGTTTGCATTCCAGGGAAAAAATGATTATATATAATTATATATAATTATTTGAGTAGTAGTAAAGATTAATGGGTGGAGTAAATTCTGCTCCTAATGTTATTTAGATTTGACTATTCATTATAACATCCCACTCTTTTCCTCAGCTTAGATAAAATCCTAAGCCCCATCATCTTATCAGAAGCTCGGTGGATAAATTTGCTAGGTCTTTTTTGCCGAAGTTTTTTGGACCTAAGGAAGACCCGTCCCCATAATTTGTGTCTTTTACAAGTTAGGGCTGGGGAGTAGTACATGCACACTGTCCTCCCCACCGTCTCCGCATAATCGACACACGTCGTTGTCCTTAGCTTTTATTTTGTGCAGGTGAGCTTTCAGGGCAGGATGTCCTGTTAAAAGTCCACAGCGACCCTGAGCCAAGACCTACTCAACGAAAGGAGTTCGTCTGTTCTTCTGTTTGATGGTTGCTCCAGCATGAGTTTAGACCACCGGTATCCCTCGTAGTTATTCCATCTCGAAAGATGTTCCATTTTCATCCTTTGATGTTCGCTTTTCCCATGGAGTACGGGAGCTTGATTGCCCGGCTCTGGGACTCGCTAGAGCCTTTTTTAGCCAAGCAATCCGCCACCTCGTTCCCATGCAATCCTTGTTGTCTAGATATCCACATCAGGGCTATCTTGTTGTTTTTACTTAATTCTTCAAGCATTGTCATGCAGTCCCATACCAGTGATGTTTCAATGGTGGTCTTGACTAGTGCCGACAGAGCTGCTTTGCTGTCATTACATATGACAATTTTCCTATTTAGTGTTTCTCTCGACGTGAGAAGTTCCGCACATCTTAGGATGGCTGTTACTTCCGCATGGAACACCGTGGCCATGCTATCCAGGGAAATACTCTCTCTGTAATCTTTGCCCAGCCCGTATACTCCAGCTCCAAAGTCATCATTCAACCCCGAGGCTTGCATTGCCTTATACCATCCGTGCGCAATCCATCCCCAGTTAATCAATAGATAAAAGTCTTAGACTAATAAAAAAATTCCGATTATGACATTATCACAACGAGCGCAGACGCAGGGACGACTTTGCAATCATAATAATTATTAAATATTTATAGGGTACCGAGAGCATGGATGATCCTGAAATGGCCCGACTATCGCGATCACCATAAGTTCATGAGATTCGGAATTGAAGGATCACCGGAAATTGTAGTGCAAGCTGATTTTTTGTCTGCCAGAATGGAATTCTGGGAGAAATTGATAGCGAACGTATCGGTAAAATACGATATAGAACTTGACGTGTCTACTAATTCTCCAGAAAGTATGATAACCGTCTCTGATGCGATTGATCATAAATTAACGTTCAGTCTCGCGATATTAACAATCGTGTTTGTTTGCGCGCTCATTTAACGAAGATAGTCGGAATAGTATCTCATCGATTTTTATGAGCCTTGGATATGTCTGTAGAACATCAATAAATAAAAGACCCATATATTTTTAGCGGCGTATCTCGGCGTTTAGGGGTTAAAACGTCCCCTTGAAAAAAACGGTTTTTTTATTTTTAGCAAATATGTTCTAAAGTACGAAGTATATGAAAAAATGTCTCATACAAAAGTTTTATGATATTTTATACTCTTTGCAGCGATGCATTCAATTTAAAAAAAAATGTCAAATTTTTTTATTCCCTCTTCCTTTACTCGTTACTTTCCCAAATTTTTAAATATTTATTACAACAAAAATTATAGAGCATTAAATGTCAAATCCATACATACATAATAATAGAAAGTGGTCACGATTAAATCTTTGGAAGACGACATGATAATATAGTGCCATAGGCTATAAGCGCCGCATTGTATGAGTAGGTAGCTACCACTATGTTGTATTATTTTTCTTTAGCTATATTTCATAACTGCTTATGCATATTTTCTTATACCACAAGATGACAACGATTTAAACTTTATAATATGTTGTGAAATATATTATACGAAATAGAAACGTAAGTACAGATAAATTTGCTAAAAAAAAATTTTTAAGTATTAAGCTTCATTTGATAAATTTGCATAATATTGTATAATAACAGTAGGAAATATGTATAACGGTGTCGCTATTTGTAAAGAATTTTCGAATATATATTTTTTGAATAAAATATATGTGAAATCTATGTTCATTGCAATCTTAAAGGTAAGTCGATACAAAATCAAGGTGAATTAAAATAAAGCCACAATGTTTGAAGTAAAGAAACACATATTCTAAGGCAAAAACGGAAGTTATTTTGCATCGAATTGTGATCGACGAAAAAAATAGACTCTTATTAATTTTGTACTCTTATTAATTCAATTTTTTTAATTATTACATCTAACTAAATTTCAATGACATTTAGTGACTTTGTGTGTATATCATACATGTATTTCTTAAATAAAATAATTTACACTTTGCGTCTATTATTATACATATTATTATACATATTATCTATCTACGCTACTTCAAGCAATATTATTATATCGCGCGCGATATTGCCACTTGTAAAGCGAAAAGTATTTTGTGTTATATCTTACGATTACAATAAAATATTAACCTAATGGATCTTACGATTACAATAAAATATTAACTTAATGGATACTGTTTTCAAAGAAGGAAATCAGTTCAATTACTACTTCGTATTTATAAATCGATATATATTTTCTATGATTATTTCTTATTGTATAAAAGGAAACTTCCATTTAATGTATAAAAGAATATAAAATTGACCAGTGGTACGCGATCATAACATCTACTTGACGACAAACCACGGTTCGCTCATTGCCGACGATTAAGATCATTGAGCGAGATGAGAGAGAAGGAGGAAGAGACGAGAGAGGCCTTCATGCTAAACGGCATTGGCTCACATCTTTGGAATTTCTCGAAAATTTATTACGTGATTTCGTTTATTAACATTAATTTTCTTCACTTATATGTTTATATATGAGACTTGGATGTATATTGCAGATTTGGCACACAATTTACATTTTATTTTTCTGTTCTTCCTTCCACAGCATTTTATACCTATTTTTAGTATAATTCGAAAATACAATCCTTTGACAAGAGGAAAAAATATATACTAAAGGATTTAAAAGTAAATTTATAAAAATAACTTTTATTTTGGAAAATATTAAGCGTGTCAACTTGTATGTATATATATAACATTAACATATACATACATCCAATTATTATTAATTTATCAAATGTTTGACTCTACTCGTCATTCTGTATATATCGGTTTATTTGTCTTAATGCACTAGCCTCCCAATATCGCTAAATCGTATGTAATTAAACAAAATTTTCTTTGTATTTATTATTGCAATATATTATGCAATAGCAAATAATTATCTGAATAGTACGGATTATATATCGTAATAATAAAAAAAGTTTCTCATATTTACAAAATTTGAATTTTAAGATTTGATAAACCAATGAAAATAGTACTACAAATCACGTGTGCTGTTCGCGTTCTTAACTGCTATAAAACGATGTGGCTCCTTTCTCGGTACCGCTTTCAGCCAGAAACCACCTTCGGGCTTTAAAGTGACGGCATCTTTGGCTATTTTGAGCGGCATCGATGTTTTTTCGCAAGGTAGTAAGTCGCAACGTGCCAACGTGTGAAAGAGTAACACTTTCGTCTCCAACAGGGCGAATCGATTACCTATGCACATCCTTGGTCCTAAGCCGAACGGGAGATACGCTCCGGTGTTCAAGGTGACTTTTTTCTGCTCGCCGAGAAACCGTTCGGGATCGAATTTTTCCGGGTCCTTGAAGTATTTTGGATCATAATGTAGTCCAAAAAGTGAAATCATCACCGCTTCCCCTTTTCTCACGGTGAACTTTTTCGTTCCTGGTAACGTCGGTGGCAATTCGAAATCCTTTATACACACTCTGTCCAGCCCTATACCAATTGGATACATCCTGAGAGCCTCGCTTATTACGGCATCCAAGTATTCCATGCTGTTGATCGCTTCATACGGTGCTTCGCCATTCGTGTCCTCCAGTATCTGGTCGATTTCATTCTGTAGTCTTTTCAGTACGTTCTCATTCACCGCGATCTCGTGCGCAGCGAAACTCATCAACGTCGACGTGCTGTCGAAACCAGCGAAAAAGAAAATGAAGGCCTGGCTAGTCATGTCCTCGATCGTCAGTTTCTTCCTACCGTCTTTCTTTCCTCTACTTTCCATCATTAGCTGCAACATGTCAGGTCGAACGATATCCTTCTCATCCCTGGTCTTAATAGTGGTATCCACAAGGTCATAGAAAAATTTCTTGACTTCTTCGCGAAATAATTTTAGTCTTAGTAGATCCGCCAGCCATGGCATTATTCTGAATAAGGTCATTTTCAAGAAGGTGACAAGATTGAAATTGGTCGCTTCTTTGCCGTATGCATAGAAACGATTTTTCGGATCTCGCATGGAATCAACACTGACGCCGAAAGCGCAGGTTGCGATCACATCGTTGGTATAACGTGTGAAAATATCCTTAGTTTCTATCACGTTTTGATCCGGCGGTAGTTGCGCTATGAAATCACCAAAGTCAGTAGCATAGTCGGACATCAGCTTGAACATGATCTTCATCTTGCTGGAAGTGAAGGCCGGGCTCAGCATAGTTCGCACTTCCCGCCACTTGTCGTCTTTAAGGGCGAAGAGATTTCTTGCCATCAGTGGATCTTGATCCTCGCGGAGGAATGTGCGATGATTCGGGAACATGTCAAATTGTTTGAGTGTAATAGACTTGATGAGTTCAGGGTCGCGTAGCAATATCAGTGGTGTTGTAAATTCAAACATACCGACATACTTGGCCTCGCGATGTAGGTTGTATATATTCTTCAAGATATAAGCAAAGGGCTCTTTACGCAAGATCATCGGTCCCATATTACCTACGATTGGGAGCGGCTGCATATACGGTATGCCGTGCTTCTTGAACACGTTCAGGTTCTTGATGAAGAAGTAATAGAAACCCAAGGCACCGGCTATCACCGACAAGGCAATCGTATACACCATGTTGAGTGAAATTTTTTCCATTAAACTGAGTAACGCACTATACGACGTTCTGTCGAACTATATTTTCTAATAAAACTGACGGTTCTGACGGGATTAGTCTCCCCGATATTAATGCGGCGAACTTACTTAATTAAATGTATCTGCTTTGTCTATTGATTATGTGCTACAATATAATCAAAAGTAGGAATGATGTAGCTATGCGCCGCTGGCGCTCAACGGCCGACTGCTGCTCCATTGCGCAATCTGTCACATATGTATAACTCGTGGAATCATCGCTTATGTAACATTTGCCAATGCGCACTTAGTGGTGAAGAGTAAATAACCTTCTTCTGACACTATTGATGTAAAAATTAATCTCCAAAGCTGATAAAGCAATTACATTTATCTTCGCGGTTTTACGTTATCATGTTGTTATTTGCATAATTTTTGCGGTATTCAATGAATGTAATCGGTGAGGAGATAACCTTTCTTGAAAAAGAGTCACGTGAGATGAAACCTGTTCACCTCAGGCTTTGGATATGATATTTGTTTCTTTACTTCGATAGGAAATTGGTTTGGAGAGGAAATTCATATAATTTGGAGCTTATTAATGCATTTCTTACATTTTTACCTTCAACTATTGGGAGTACAAATTAGTTCGGTCCGTTTTTGTGGTCAAAAATGCATTTATTTCAGAACGAAATGAATGAACAGATTAATCAAAGTATTGTCCATCCCTGGCTACTACTTTTTCCCACCTCTCAGGCAATTTTCGAATTCCATCCCGAAAAAATGTCTCGTCTCTCGTTTCCAAATAATTTTTTACGACTTTTGCGACATGAGGCCGCGCGTTATTTTGCAGAACAATAACTTTGTCATGTTTTTGCTAAGGATTTATTAAACGATTCTCGTAAAGCGACCATTATAAGGTAAACTATTGTTAACTTAAAATTTATTCACTTTTCCGTGACAATATTCGGTCAAAGATAAAATAGATTTCTGCAAAGTTGTGTACGCAGCCCCGATGGTCTCGTTGCTCCATTTGACACACATCGCTTATCTTCGGTAGAGTATTCAGATAGAAATCGATAAGCTGCGTTATGGATAAGTAAGACACAAGAAACGAGGAAATTTGTATAATTTAAACTATAAAACATGTAATATTTCCGCTACTTATTTAAAAATAATAATTCGTTCGACTTGCTATTGAGATATATAACTTGATAAAGACAACAATTATGTGTGCACCTAGTCGATAAGAACTATAGACGTGATTTTATGGCGATGTGTTTGTATATTTTAAACAATCTTTGTCACATAAACTTAACAATTAATTAAATCAGCTATGCCTCTTATAGACCTCTTATAGGTGCAGCCTCTTATAGGTGTATCCATGATTATTATGTTGCTTTCAAGAAATAAAGAATTCAATTTTCATAGTGATGAAAATATGTGGAAAAAAACCAGTAGTTGAGTTGTTTTTTAAAATAATAGATTCATGCGATCTACCGCGATGACTTTTAAACAACATCATGGAATAATAGATTATTTGTCAGGTTGCTCGAAAAGCGACTAACGAACTACCTGGCTCCATCTAACAGTGTCGAGAGATCTGTTATATTGAACCGGTTTAAGTCTCGACTAAGTTAAGGTTTGAGTTTATGCTAGATGACCCTCAAGTAATCCATTATCTTCCACAAAAAAATTAAGGCTGTAATATAACTAAGCAATTAGTTAGACGGACCTGTACTTTTTAACGACGGACCTATACTTTTAATTACGACTTGAGATAGTTGTCTTGCAGTAATACTATTGAAAAGTAATGTAGACTAAAAGAAACACGTGTTAATAGATTCAAATTTAATTACAAATATTTTTATTTTCGAATAACTTTTTATTTAATCGCGCAAAATGTCGGATAATATTTCGATTGATATGTAATCTATTTTATAGCGAATTCATAAGCCAATTCATGTCACGTGACAACTACTTTAATAACAGGTCTTCAGACGACCTCTTTATTTCTAAAATTATTTGTAAATGCAGAAGTCGAATTATTTACGAATCGTTTATTTTAAAGAGTTCGTTTGAGTGTCAATTATTTTGTATACCGGAATCATAAATCAAATATCAAATTATATATCAGAATTGCGCAACCACATGTCGAATTCGCGATTATTTATTTTGATCGCGATCTATTTTGCAGCTATCGTAACCGCTAATTTCGTAAATATTTTACGCGAAATATTATTTCGGTCAAAATCAAAATTATAAGAGTTTCAAATTAAAATTAAAAGTTAGAATTTTCATAAAACCGTAATTTCGATTTTCGACGAAATAATGCAGTTTTAATTTAAATAAATATTTGTTAGATTAAGAAGAAATTTCATAAATGTAAAATATAATTTCTTTGATATAAAATATCGTTGTAGAAGTAAAAACAAATGATTTCTTTACAAGAATAAACGTTTTTTATTAATGTAAGAATCGTATTTAAATAAACATTTGCTTTATTTAAAAGTAAGCAAATGCAAACAAATTATTTTGTAAATTATTTTAAACAAATCATTTTCTGATATTTATAAAAAGTTTCTTTTACCATTAAAAACAGTTTATTTAAATTTACAAAATGATTAATTTATATTTTGCTTACTTCTAAAACAAATAAGTATTATAGAACATATAATTATAAGAAGAATTGAGGTCTAAAATTATTATAGGTCAAGTCCATCGGAGGTGCTATCAGTTTTCCTTACATTTACCACAAAAAATATTTTTTACGTAAATTTTTTAAACCTGAGCAAATTTTTTAAACCTAAGTTCCTATTTATATCAGATTTTCATTTTTTCCTTTAGAAATGAATACAAATGGGACCTTAATTATTAGTTTAATTTAAATTTAATTTAAAGAATTTATTTTACCCACTGAGAGATTCGAACCTGAGACCTGTGGCTCTTCGATCGTTCACTTTATCTACTGCATCATTATCATTTCGGCTGACGGACGTTTCACATGCATATGGTATCTCCATGTACGAAAGCAAACAAATGATATCTTTAGAAGGAAATGGGTCCTCTTAAATGTAAAAAGTATATTTAGAAAATTAATTATAATAAACATATGTTACCAAGTACATGGTCCTGAGTAACAATCAAAACATTTTATGCATCGCTGATTGTTCATTAAAAAATTATTAATAAAAGAAGTTTGAAACGCGTACACGAATTTACTATAGAAGACCCACCTTCAGTGACTTTGATCTTGACATATATAATAGAGATCATTCTTCTGAGTAACCTTCCGAAGGTTTTACCCGTCGCTCACTGATCATTAAAAAGATATTAAGAAAATAACGGAAATACGTTACACGCATCTACCTATATCGACCGGTGCTTAAAATTTTTTCGCAATTTTTTGCACATAATTCGTGATTCGAAAGTTCATGCTTGAGGCGTTATAATTTGTTGTGTACTTTTTGTTCAATCGTTATATATTATCACGATCACGAGTGCAGTGCAGCGAAATAAAATGAAGTGAGTGAAGTGCGACTGATGACGATTGGACGCTACGGAAGTTGGATATTGAAGACTTCGAGCTGAACGGTCGGATGTCGCGGAATATCAACGCGCAATGATGAGTGTACAATTTAAACACTCACTGAACGTCGTATTACCTAGTGTATGCAATATGGAGACGTGAATCGTATTGACTGCCAATGAAAAATATCATCGTGCTAAAGGTGACAGTGCGGGATTAATCTCATACTTCCGTGGTGCGGAGAAATGCTTAATGTGGCTTCCTGGTTTGTGCCGTGTCCTTCGCGGATTTGTTTCCGACGTTTCATAAACATTCCAGTTTACTTTTTTAGAAAAAGGTACGACCTGGAAGTTTTTGTCGTACGTTTTTGCCGTAAGTTTTTAAAATCTTTGTGACTTTCAGTCATACATTTTTTTCTGAAAAAAAAAAACAGATTGGAATCTTCATTTAATGAAAACAAAAATATTTAATATTTGTAACAATAAGCGCATAAGTAAAAGATTTATAACCATTTATCAGGAGAATCATTTATTTAGTAAACATTACTATAGTGTTAATGATAATAATTTTATATGCATATTGTTGCTATTTATATGGATTATAATTATAAGAAGAATTGAGGTCTAAAATTATTATAATTTCAGGATTTCTCTCAGTACGGTGATAATAAATAATATCCGTATTATCACGGATATTCTGATGTATCAGAGACATTCGTGAGAACATTCAGCTGTATTAAAACTCGATTGAAATAACTGAGAGCAACTGATTGCAACGGATGAATAGAAAACTCCTACAGGAATCTTTCTGTTCCTCTAATTGAGTTTTCGTTTGGTTTCCATGCAACAGATAATTCAGTTACACTAATAAAATCGTTTTTCTGTAATACTATGTATTTTGAGTTAAATAATAGTAGCAATATACTTATAAGGTTATCATCACTGACACTGCAGTAAACATGTTTACTAAATAATCTTCTAATTATAATCTTTTCACATATGCTGTTGTATGGAGCTCACGCAAAAATTCCTGCTGTTTTTTAATAAAATGCACATATAATATTTATTTATTTTAAAATACGAGGCATCAATTAAATATCAATTAAAACGCCGCTTTGACCTGCCATCGCGCCTGTAGAAATTCCAGTATTTCTGAGCAGTGAACTGATTGAAAAAAAGAATGAACTTTTGCATCAATCCGATAGTTATAAATACAAAAAATTTTTTTCTTAATGCGAGTTTTCATTTCTTGACGTCGAGTATATCATTTGATCTCTATTCAGTTGCAAGAACTGAAGTTTTTATTCCGTGTGGAAAATACGATATAAAAATTTGAAAAGAATTTGCATAAGAGAAATAAATGTTACAATATTTTCTCTTACACGAATCTTCGAAATCGCGTTGAATTGGCGAAGCATACGAAACATACGGATGCAGTTATTAGCCGTCAAATGACCACAAATTTTTCGCGAACGCAAGCTCACCACTGAGCGGTACATTACACCGTGACGCGGCGATCATAAACTCGAGTATTTATTCAGTGACGTGTTTAATAAGTGCGTAATCTATAGAGATATAAAGCCGATTCGCGCGTCGCCCATTCGCAAAATAACGTTTCTCAGACGCTATCGAGACATCGATCTGGCAAATGCGGCGAGCTCATCGATACCGTTCGATGCTCGGTTAAGTCATTAGCAATA